GAAATCCCTGTCTTTACTGAATAATAATATCTGTATATAATAAGCCTTGGATTTTAAGGTTTAATCCACTCTGAAACTTAATAGACTCTAACAAATTCACTCCAGAGATTCCAGATGAGGAGATAATCATCAGCAGCAGCTTCTTCCTCCATGACTATTTCCAAAAAGGGGACAATGACAGCGACTTTCTCATCAATTTATTATTCATATTATAGATCAGGTAACTGTGGTGATCTACTGGATCAGATTTTTGACCCCACTTTGTACAACCCCATTTCCAAAAAATTTGGGACGGGGGCATGTTTACCACTGTGTTTCATCACCTCTTCTTTTAACAGCACTCTGTAAGCATTTCGGACCTGAGGAGACACTGCTGTAGTTTTGAAAGTGAAATGTTTTCCAGGGTCTCCTTTGTCATATTTTTCATTTCATAATGCACCGAATGTTATTAGTGGGCGACAGGTCTGGACTGCAGGCAGGTCAGTTTAGCACATGGACTCTTTTAATACGGAGCAATGCTGTTGTAATACATGCAGAATGTGGTTTGACATTGTCTTCCTGAAATAATCAAGACCTTGCCTGAAAAAAACATAGTCTGGATGGCAGCATATGTGGCCAAAACATGTATATATCATTCAGCATTAATGATGCCTTCACAGATGTTCCCATCACCCATACCATGTGCATTAATGCACCCCTGTACCATCATGAATACTGGCTTTTGAACTGTGCACTGATAACAAGCTGAGTGGTCTTTAGACCGGAGGACACAGTGTCCATGATTTCCAAAAAGGATTTCAAATGCTGATTTGTCAGACCACAGGACACTTTTCCACTTCCCCTCAATACATTTTAAATGAGCTCGGGCCCAGAAAAGGTGGCAGCGTTTCTGGATGCTGTTTATATATGATTTCTTCTTTGCGTTTTAGAGTTTAAACTTGCATTTGTTGATGCAGCGACGTTTTTTGGCCTTGTCCCTTATATACAGAAATTTCTACAGATTATCTGAATCTTTTAATGATATTATGTACCGCAAATGATGAAAAGCAGATATTCTTTGCTATTTTATGTTGAGAAATGCTATTCTTCAATTGTTAAACTATTTACTCATGCAGTCACAGAGTGGTAAACTCCTCCTCATCTTTACTTCTGAAAGACTCAGCCTCTCTAGGATGCTTTTTAATACCCAATCATGTTACTGACCTGTTGTCAATTAACCACCAGGTGTTTTTTTTTAGCATTACACAACTTTACCAGCCTTTTGTTGCCCCCGTCCCAACTTTTTTGAAACATGTTATTGGCGTCAAACTCAAAATAAGCATATATTTTTCAAAAAATAATAAAATTTCAGTTTCAGTATTTTATGTGTTGTCTTTGTACTATTTTCAATCAAATACAGGATTTAAATTATTTGTACATCATTACATTTTGTTTTTATTTACGTTTTGCACAGCACCCAAACTTTTTTGGAAATGGGGTTATAATTAGAGGACAGTTTCGCTGAGCTCTGACTTGTTTAAAAAGAGGATGCTGTAACTTACGTGGTGAAGCTGATGCCTTCACTGAATATTCACATACAGGAGAATGGCATCTTGATGGTCTGTGAGAAGGAGAAGGAGGCTCACGACACATCTGATAAAATCTATGATCACAATAGAAAGATTTTTTACAGAGGAGACACAGGAGGTGTCGCCCAAGTAAGCCTTCAGCACACTCTGTGCGTCTATTTAGAGACGAAAGTGCTTCACTCTCTTTGAATGTGATTAAGTCCTATTAGGTCCTGTTTATGTCTGTATGATTTAAGCGTTAGCAGGGAAAACTAACTTCCGCTCCATACAACTACTGCAGAAGCAATGTGAAAATGTTATAGTAGTGTACCATAATGCTCAAATTCTGAGCTACAACAGCTATATTTTAGTTTTCCTGCACTGTTGTGACAAACAGCGAGAATAAGAAGTGGATGGAAGCACTGATTTAACTTTAAACAGAGCTAAAATGTGTGGGACAGCCTTGTTTTTACTGCAGTCTGCTGCAGCTTCTTACATCAAGCAGTTTCTGTGTCTTTGTACAACATGCCAGCGATTTCTATAATAATTCTGTTTTCAAAAGAAAGACGAACTATATGTAGTATGAATTTGATGGACTCTGCTGGCTAGAAGCTATTGCTAACAGTAGCTATTACCTCAAACTAGATTACCCAGCTAACATAAAGCAGCATCACCAGTTAATTTTGTACTCATCTTTAAAAAGCTAATGCAGGCAATAATCCATCAATGAAATAATTCTTACATGATCAGCTCGGTACAAACAGTTAAAGTTAGCTGGCACATTATGTCAGAGACATATCTTAGTTTTCATGCACTGTCATGACAAATAGTGAAAATAGAAAGTGGATGGAAGCACTGACTTAACTATAAACAGAGCTAAAATGTGTGTATCTGTATTCGGTGTAGCCCTGTTTACTGCAGCTGCCTTACATCAAGCAGTCTCTCTGTCTTTGCACAACATACCAGCGATTTGTTATATTTCTGTTTTGAAAAGAAAGAACTTTTATATGTAGTATGAATTTGAAAGACGTTGTTTAGCTGTAGCTAGCTAGCTACGCTAGAGGCCATTGCTAACTGTAGCTGTAGTCCCAAACAAGGAAGCTAGATTTTATTAGCTGCTAGCTGCAGCTGGCTAACATGGAGCAGGTTCTGTGACATATTTACAGCATATCAGCAATTTCTCTAATATTATAAACGTAAACCAAAACTTTTATATGTAAAGTCTATTTGACAGACCTAGTTTAAACTCTCTTTTAGCTTATGGTAGACTAGCAGGCTACAGGCACTAATTAGCTTGCCTACTATTAGCAGTTTAAGGAACACCAGCTTCATATGAGGAGCAAACTTTAAAGCTAGCTGGCTAGCTATGTTAGTGATCTGCCAAACAGCATCATTCTTTTAGTTTCATTGCAATTTTTGAAGCAGTACTTCAGAAAACATCCACCTTTCACTGCTCAATCAAAGACGCGACTCCTAGCTAAATTGTATCTTAGCATCGCGGTTATGCTGTTACGTTTTGATTTCCATCTTGTGGCATAGCTAGCTTAGCTAGTTGTCTGGGATCTGGGAAGAGCCACGTTAGCTGTTTGTACCGAGCTGATCGTGTCGGAATTATTTCGTTGACGGTTTATTGCCTTGCATTGGCTTTTTAAAGATGAGTACAAAATTAACTGGTGATGCTGCTTTATGTTAGCTGGGTAATCTAGTTTGAGGTAATAGCTACTGTTAGCAATAGCTTCTAGCCAGCAGAGTCCATCAAATTCATACTACATATAGTTCGTCTTTCTTTTGAAAACAGAATTATTATAGAAATCGCTGGCATGTTGTACAAAGACACAGAAACTGCTTGATGTAAGAAGCTGCAGCAGACTGCAGTAAAAACAAGGCTGTCCCACACATTTTAGCTCTGTTTAAAGTTAAATCAGTGCTTCTACCCACTTCTTATTCTCGCTGTTTGTCACGACAGTGCAGGAAAACTAAAATATAGCTGTTGTAGCTCAGTATTTGCGCATTATGGTACACTACTATAACATTTTCACATCGCTTCTGCAGTAGTTGTATGGAGCGGAAGTTAGTTTTACCCTGATAACGCTTAAACCAGGAGTAATCGTGGCTCTCTGTGAAAAGCGCCCATTGAGGTTTACTCAGGTGAGTCCTCCCTTTCAAACTAAGGCCTGCTCGTTAAGGCAATTGTGTAGCCACTTTTAACACAAAGTTGGAAGCATAGATTTGTCCAAAATTACCTTGGTCTGCTGAAGCATTAAGATTTCTCTTCACTGGAACTAAGGGGCCTAGGCCAACTCTGAAAAACAACCCCATAGCCACTTTTAACAGATTTGTTTCTTAGGGTGCGTTCAGACCTGGCAGATTTGGTACAATTAAAATGAAGCCAGATGCGACTGATCTGTTACTGCAGTTCATTAGAGCAGTGAGAAAACTGGCATCCAAACACTGGAGCTCAACAAACAAGCATGCCGAGACCCCCTGAGAAGGGGTGCCTTTCTCAAAACAACTACAAAGATTATATGATAGAGGCACTATCATTCTGCACACTGTCTCTCCACGGTTACCACAATGGTCTCTCATGGATGCTTTTGGGAAACGCAATCCAGGTCAATCTTGGTTCACTTCAACACGAACTCTGGAGCGATTCATTTGAAGTATGAGCACAATACGGACCAAAGACATCTAAACGGACCAAATACGGAAAGAACCATCGTATGTGGAAAAGACGAGTCTAATCTTGCTTTGACACTTACCTGTGTTTATGATTATCTTCATAAACTCTGACTCGGTAACAACCTGTATTATGTATTACGTATTAAGGCGCCAACGTTTCTCAGTTTCGTAAAAGCAGTAAGACACTCGAGGCCGTTACAGGGATGTCACCCGGCCTGGCATCATGCAAAACAGCAGTAACACTGGGAGTCTCAGGGCTCATTGCTCTAATATCACAAGACAGATAAAACAAGTCATAAATAAAACCTACAGGCCCAGATAGAACACAGAACAGCATGATTTATAAAGTCCAGCAGACATTATCACAGTTACTGTATGTCATAAAATCCACCCAATCAGTTACAATTTTTTACTTCCATGACTTTTGTTTAAATATTCTGGCTTGTAGTTAAATATGTCAGTGTGAATGCTAAATGAATCAGAACTAAAATGATACTGTGAATCATTTTCTGCTTTGGTCCAGACCAAGGGAGCAGAACTACAAGTACTAACACACGCTTATTTCCATTTGGTAGAATATTCTTAGTGTTGAATTTAATTGCATCATTGATTGATGTGTAAAAAGTGTGGCTTTTATACTTACATGTAGAGTTCACAGGGCTTTCCTGAAGAGAGAGAAAAAATAGTACTATATAAAATAATGAAGTAGTACAAATGTGCTAGGGTAAGTGCTGGTATCATTTCGTACGTGAGTTCAACAGCTGAGGGAATCTACCTTGGTGTCCGGGATGTGAATCATACTCTTCATCTAAAAGAAATGCACAGTACAGGAATTAATACTCATAATGGTGTGGAGACAGATACCAATGTGTTAGCTGATAATCATAATAACAACAAAAATTAACAACAACAATTATTTATGTCAAAAACTGTCGGTTTTCTTCTGGCAACAGCAAGTGATAACACACAACCTCAAGTGTACTATTGCTTTAATACAACAGTTTGGAAAAACAAATAAAGTGTAAAGCAAAGAAACCCTTAATATTATATTAAATATGTTTTTTTTATAGTGGGCATTCAGTGGACATCTGACCTTCTCTCCTCCTTATCTCCCAAAATAAATGTCCAAAAATGATCAAACCTACTTTGTCACTGTTCACAGACAACAAACAAACACCAAATATATATTAAAAATGTCTGTTGTAAATTTTGCTGAACAGTCCAACCCAGGGCCAAATGCGATCCGCAGGCTGATTTTAATTGGCCTTTGACGTCTGTTTAAGAGTGTGTAATAAGTGGCTCTTCAGCTGATATGTAGCAGTTTTTCCTTTCACCTGATGGTGGCAGTACTACCATAAAATTACAGTGTTATGTGCCACATTGTGGTAATAAAGTTAGAGTTTTCTCTGACTAGACGGGCAGCTTGATTTACTGAATAGCATTTAGTCAAGACTATAGCCATGAAGCACAAATTTATCATTGAGAACTGGCGATTTTGAATTGAATATTTTTTCACTGAGAGCCAAAGCAATTATATGTCAAAAGAATATAATAAATTTAATATCAACAGACATGAAACAAAGCACAGACATTACAATTAAGAGAAACTAAAGCAACTACATGCTAACCGAGTCTCACAGCACCAACCTCTTATCAGAGTAAATTGAGCAGTTCAGTAAATGTTAACCCTTTAAAGCTTGAACAAAAACCTGGCAATTAATGCTGTTTAATCTGCTCTTCTCGTTTAATTGATTTCTGAATGTTGTTGCTGCAGTTATTTGATATGTAAAGAACATCTAACAAAATCAAAAATGTATAGATTTTTGCTTAGTTTGTCTCACAAATTATATTTTTAACAAGTAAACACTTCGGTAGGGTTTATATGTTTTATTGTTACTCTTAGTCTTGTGATTTGTTTTACCCTGTTCTTCAGTGGTCAGGACCCCCATGGACCCTCACAGAGCAGGTACTACTTGGTTGGTGGATCATTCTCAGCACTGCAGTGACACTGACGTGGGGGTGGTGTGTTAGTGTGTGTTGTGCTGGTACGAGTGGATCAGACACAGCAGTGCTGCTGGAGTTTTTAAACACTGTGTCCACTCACTGTCCACTCTATTGGACACTCCTACCTTGTCAGTCCACCTTGTAGATGTAAAGTCAGAGACCATAGCTCATCTGCTGCTGCACAGTTTGTGTTGGTCATCCTCTAGTCCTTCATCGGTGGTCACAGGACGCTGCCCAGAGGACCCTATTAGCTGGATATTTTTGTTTGGTGGACTACTCTCAGTCCAGCGTTGACACTGAGGTGTTTAAAAACTCCAGCAGCACTGCTGTGTCTGATCCACTCAGACCAGCGCAACACACACTAACACCATCCCCACATCAGTGTTACTGCAGTGCTGAGAATGATCCACCACCCAAATAGTACCTGCTCTGTGAGGGTCTATGCGGGTCCTGACCACTGAAGAACAGGGTAAATGGGGGCTAACAAAGTATGCAGAGAAACAGATGGACTACAGTCTGTTATTGTAGAACTACAAAGTGCACCTATATAGTAAGTGGAGCTGATAAAATGGACAATGAGTGTAGAAAAAAAGATTATAATGTTATGCCTGGTGTATATTCACACACACACACTGAGGGGCAATTTAGCATGTCCAGTTGGCCTGACTGCATGTCTTTAGACTGTGGGAGGAAACTCACTCAGACACAGGGAGAACATGCAAAACTCCATACACCATGGTCGCCCAGCCAGGGAATCGAACCCAGGCCCTTCTTGCTGTGAGGCAACAGCTCTATCATTATTACAAGTGTATTTGGAAAATGAATGCCTTGCTTATATTTATTTATTTTTTCCTTCTCCTTTTCTTTTCATACCAGTTGAATAATTTGTGCATATATTCTATTAATAAGAACTGAACTGATTATTGCTTGTCTGTTCATAAAGGTTGCCGTACAAAATGTATTTGTGAAGCCTTTTCATACTGCTTGAAATAAATAAATAAAAAAACAGCCTTTTGTCCATGCTGGGGGGAACTAACAGACGAGCCAACTGATCTTCCATTGGCCATGCTGAGGAAGTTTTGTGAGGGAGGCTGGAAACCGACGACCCTCCATTGCCACTCTGTTAAATGGAGCAGGCAGAAGTAAATACTAGGTCATCGCTACTATTTACGGCCAGATGTGACGATGCAGTGATCAATGTTCCACTGATTATCCAGTGTGTGTGTGTCTATATATGTATGTGTGCGCGCATGTGTGATACCCTGAGTCCTCAGTAGCTTTAACGCAGAAAGTAAACTGGTTTGTCACTGGTTGTCCTTCCAGACTGTAGTGCACAGTCACAGTTCCTTCATCGTTCCCAGAGCTCTAAGAAAGTTACACAGACAAAACTTGATTAGATTAGTACATATGAAAGAAAAGCTTTTTAGTTAAAGGTGCAGTACATGTTTTTTTGTCAAATTCAGTGAATGTCTTCTTCTAGTGTTTGTACATAGCCCTGGCTCTGTAAATGGAAAATGAACAGAGCATCTTGGTTCGACAGGCAATCAGCAACAGGGGGTGCTCACGCTCATACACAGGACAGGGGAATGGGAAGCGCTATGTGCTGAACTCCACGCATCATCAAGAAAGAGAGATGACCAAGAAACAGCCAAGAGGAGAAGATCTGAAGAAGAAGTATGGAGAGAAAAGTGTTTCAACGGTGAAAAGGAGACCAAGAGTTGACAGCGAGGCATTTCAAGGACAGAGAGACCCCTGAAAGCTGGCTTCCTGTTCGCATTTTCCAGTTCCACCTTAAATCATGCAGCAGTTCCATTCTGCACCATTTAAGGCAGAACGACAGAATTTGAACAAGAACTTGAGGCGCCAGAATGTAACTGCTGCACCATCCAAAGTGGAGTGGAAAAATTTAAGCAAGAAGCTGAGGCAACTAAAATGTATCTGCTGCACCACTGAAGGTGGAAGGGATAAATTCAAACAAGAAGCTGTTATACAGGAACGTAACTGCTTTACCATTCAAGGTGGTATGCTGGTCAACCAGCATGACAATGCTGGGTGACAAGCTAGACAAGCACCAGACCAGCACTAGTCCAGCATAAGCCAGCATAAACTAACTTAGGCCAGCACGGAATGCATGCTGGTCTGTGCTGTTTTTCTATTTTTCTGATGAATTAAAAATTGTGCACTCCATTAATTACATGGTTGTTTTTGGTTTTGAAACACATGATGAGATGGTACAAAAGCACTGGCAGTGCTTAAAAAGTTTTGCAAACTTTTTAAGAGCCGGTATTACTGTTTACCGTGGTGATATTTGTATACAACCAGAAAAAGCATCCATAAAAGCAAGTTCCTGTGGCAGTGGGTGTCCACGCAACATATCCCAGATAGCAATGAAATTTTGGCCCAAATGTGGCCTACATCTGCAGTTCTCTTATGGCCCACATTTGGCCTTGATGTACGCCGTTGACTAAGGGTGATTCTGGCTGCCTCAACAATACAACCCTCAATAACATACCACTACCATGTCAATATCACTGCAGTGCTGAGAAGGAAACCACCTCCCAAATGATACCTATTCTGTGGTCCTGTGAATTGATGAAGGAGTAAACAAATTAGGTGGAGAAATAGATGGACTACAATCTCTAACACGTTGTCTGCACAGAATACTATCCTCTGCTCCAAGTGACGGCCTAAAGCAGCCTCTTTTTCGCCAGTTTACCCGTTTCACCTTAAATGGTGCAGCAGGCCTCCCAAGTAGAAAATAACTTCCTGACCTCCCTCTGCAGTTCTCGCCACAGCAACGCAGTGATGTGGTCATATGCTAAACAGGCTTAACTAGTTAAACTAATTTAGGTGTATAAAAAGTGTCCAGTGAGTGTAAACATAGAGCATGTGTGAGAGAGAGGCAGACAGAGAACGAACATCTGGACCCTACCCTTCAATGTTAAAAATACTCGGCACTTAACAGATGTGGAAGTCTCTGGTCAATTTTATTATCACCACCAGCTTGTGATTATGGATTCTTCAAGGCTGCATCTAAAACAAAAAAATAAGCAAAACTAGTAATAAACACTCACAAGATAAATGAGAGTTAGCTTATAAATGATCCTAAAAGAACAGCAGCCAGTACAAAAAAAGCAAAGCAGGTGAGCCGCTGTTTCAAATACATAATACTAACAATATCTTGCGCTACAGATTTAGTAATATACTACAAATGTTACTATAAATAAAAGGACCTGGGACAAGCTGTAAGTTCTTATCAGGCAAGAACCAGAAGCAGTAGATGGATGGCTGTAGGAAGATAACATGTTTAATAAACGTTTAAAATACTATAATACTTAAATAACAGACACAGGCATATTTATGTTGACTAACTGCATTTGCATAAGCACACAAGCCTCTCAAATCCAGTAGATATTGCTTCCAAACCCGAGAAATACTGGTTTATGCAGACAGGGTTTTATCCTAACCTCTCCTGGTAGGCCAGGAGCAGCATGGTGGACAAAGTACACAACTTCTCTACTAGAGTAAAAGCAGAAATGCTCTTAGTAAAATATTCAATCAATATTTGTACAGGTTTTTAAATTACTTGCATATCAGAAGTAATAACAGGAAGTTATTATATAAATCATTATCATTATAATAATTATTATTAAAGTAGAAAGGGGCATGAGGGAGGGTGAAAGAAGGAGAATTAAAAAATGTTAGTCTGACTGACCTCTAGTCAGTGATAGTCAGTTTTCTTGTGCTACAATAAATATTCTCAATCCCCTTATCATATATAAATTGATATTTTCATAAAGTGGATGCTCAAATTGTTTTAGATATACGAATTTAAGCATGTAAAGCACAGGGCAGCACCAAATCATACCTTAGTTTAGTTAGGATAACTAACTTACTGTTTTAACTTTAACTCCAGCACCAGTCACTCGACGTCTCTCCCTCAGATTTTTGTTTTATCCTCTAAATGGTCTTCCAGCACAGCTGTTAGCTAACCTGCCAGCTAACATTAGCTAAACTTGAGCTAACTTGTATAGCAACTCCCAGTTTATTATATTTACAATTCGACACTGCCTTTCTAATTTTAAAATAATAACATTTTATTGTCGTTAAAATCTCTTACATTCTTTTGTGAGAGCAAACAATAAAAACAGTGACTCGCTAGGTTAGGTTAGCTTAGAATAGCAGGCGCGGGTTAACTAGCTAGCTAACTGTTAGCAATCGATGCTTATTTTCGTTTTAACATATAAACAGTGTGACATTAACAAATTTGCTATGGGATTACATTCGAGTACATGTCTGATTGGTAAGTCAAATAAACTAGTTAAGCATTACTCACCAAACGTGTTTTGACACCCCCCGAAGTTTCCAGAAGCAGCTCTGAGAGCCTTTCTCGCCCGGTTGAACGTTGATGACCCATGCAGCGCATGCGCCTAAATACGGGTGAGCTTGGAAAAACTCTTAAATTTTAACGTATACTCATCATTTATCATTTTTAACTTGATATAAATGTTCAGTTTGTGATAGAAATTACATTTCAGCATCATTTTTACTTAATCTTCTTCACAAACCTCACTTTCTAGATATTGTTGTTCTTGTTTTCCATTTTTAATATATAAATTTAGATTTCTGAAGTAGTTTCATGATCAAAAATAATAAAGTGCTAAAAAAATAATAATTATGGTCATATTTATAATGTAGAACATTGAAGTTAAAATTTCAATGTTGATTTATAAGTATTTTGCTTTTCAGAACCATTTAACACTGAACATTGTTTCAGCATTTTATCAACATTGAAACTGACATTTTTTTCAACAACATTTCAATGTTGAACGTCGGTCAGGTGCCCAGTGGAATGCTGCAAGTCAGGTACGCACCAAAAGAGCGCCAGAGGAATTCAGTTCAGCTCAGGACCCAAAAAGTGGATCACATGTTCATGTTATATGGACCAGGACAATTTATTTATTTATTCGGCCCACGTCTGGCCCACACAACACTTGCCAGTGCCGTAACTGAGCCGTGGCACAGATTAGGCCCAAAAGTGCCTGCTGTCTGGGACGGAAATTTCGCTCCCTGTGGTTTGAAATCGACCTTAAGATGAGCTCGGTAAATAGGTTGATATTGGATATTCAGCGGATATTCGCGTTTCGCCCCTCCTATTGCTCACAAACAACCTCTTAAAAATTCTGAAATAACATTTTCTAAATCGTGTTAAAACAGACGACAAACTACAATCTTTATATTTCGCCGAAGTACCCGATCTCTCCATTTCGCCAAGTAGATATGATGAAAATAGGCGGAATCGCTGCAGTAGTCGCGTAACACGGTAAGGGACCGTCGGTAAAGTGCGGGTACTGCTTAAAAACGTAAAACATTCACAAACATGAGCAGCTTGTTGGTGTTGTTTATAAAGACCTGAAACCTACTGAAATATAATGATGATGTGAAAATCAATACCTGACATTAAGTATACGCTTTTAGCAAATTAGGCAGTCTAAAGGCATATGCAGTGGACCTACAAATTGAACTGAGACACACTGAACAAACCTACTGCAAAATAAAATAACTTGTACTTAATTAAACAACATAATACAAATAACATACAAGCTTTGGTTTGAGACATACCTGACAAACATACTACAACCTTTAGTTTGGTAAAATATGCCTCGACTGAATTTTAATGAATTTTTTATAGAAATAAATCACAATTGTGTCACATCCATATGACTTACAGATCTAAAATCACTTGTAGTGTACAGAGACATGCCTGACAAACATACTACAACCTTTAGTTTGGTAAAATATGCCTCGACTGAATTTTAATGAATTTTTTATAGAAATAAATTGATACTCTATCACATCCATATGACTTAGAGATCTAAAATCACTTATAGTGTACAGAGACACGCCTGACAAACATACTACAACCTTTAGTTTGGTAAAATATGCCTTGACTGAATTTTAATGAATTTTTTATAGAAATAAATTGATACTGTGATACAATTTTAGTGTACACTGGTTTGCAGTGAACATGTCACAAACCTATTTCAACCTTTTACTACATTTACTATAAAGTTTACTACGTTTATTCTTTGATTGGATTTTAATTTCCTGCATTGGACTTGCGACCTGTCCAGGGTGTTTTCTGCCTTTCGCCAAATGACTGCTGGAATAGGCTCCCCCTCCCCCCCTGCGACCCAGAAGGATAAACAGCTTAGAAAATGTGTGTGTGTGTATGTCAATTTTAATTATTCTTCTTTAAAATTTCCTATTCACCTATTTGACATACTGAGCTAAAATCACTTTTAATTTTTTAAGACACATCGATTGACCCTACTATAACTTTAGGTTTAAAAAGTACCTCTACATTTTTATGGCCACTAGAGAATCACTTCCATCTTACATGGCTGCCCAACCCTGCTTGTGACAATCTGTGCATAGTTCCAGTCCTGATGTCACATACTTTAGAACATACACTTGATCAAAGTCTTTAAGAGCATCTGAATACTAGAGTCAGATGTGGTGGAACTACAACCCTGCTGGGTGGTAGTTTTTTAGGCGTAGAGTTGAGTATTTTTGAGCACCCCATTTCCAAAAAAGTTGGGAAAAGAATTTCAAATTTCAATTAATTGGACCACAGGACACTTTTCCACTTCTCCTCACTCCATTTTAAATGAGACTGGGCCCAGAGAAGGTGACAGCATTTATGGTCCTGTTTATATACGGTTTCTTCTTTGTGTTTTAAAGTTTTAACTTGCATTTGTGATTGCAGTGATGAAATGTTTTCACAGACAGTGGTTTTCAGAGGTGTTTCTGAGCCCATGCAGTGAGTTCCACTACAGAATCATGTCTGTTTTTAATGCAGTGCTGCCTGAGGTCCCAAAGATCATGGCCAGCAAATACTGTTTTTTGGCCTTGTCCCTTGCATACAGAGATTTCTTTTATCTTTTAATGACATTATGTACTGTAGATGATAAAAAGCAACAGTTCTTTGCTATTTTATGTCAAGAAACGTTATTCCTGAATTGTTGCACTATTCAATTGTGCGGTCTTTCACAGAGTGATGAACCCCTCCTCATCTTTACTTCTGAGAGACTCAGCCTCTCTGAGATGCTCTTTATACCCAATCATGTTACTGACCTGATGCCAGTCAAACACCAGGTTTGTTTTTTTAACTTTTCACAACTTTACCAGCCTTTTGTTGTCTCTGTCCCAACTTTTTTGAAACATGTTCAAAATGGACAAATACTTTTCAAAAAACAATAACATTTCTCAGTTTCTCAGTATCTTTGTACTACTGTCAATTAAATATTGAGTTTAAATGTTTTGCACATCATTGCATTTTGTTTTTATTTACATTTTGTACAGCGTCCCAACGTTTTTGGAAATGTGGTTGGAAATGATCAAGCTTCAGGCTTGTGAACTTTTTGGTGTCACTCCACTCTTCTGTTCCACCAGGGGTTCTAGTGTCCTGCTCAGCCAGCCTCCACCACTGACCAGCTCCTCAAGCCTGTCCAAACTGCCAATCCCGTGGTCCAGATTCACCCAATGTTTTGGGCTTTGGGAGCCTCACTTTATGTAGTGTACTCTTGTTTGGGACTGGCCCGCTCCGGCTCTGACTCCACTCACTTATTACCACACACACTTGTGGCCCATTTCTAAGACTGAATAACAAACAAACAGTATTGATTCAATGTTTTAGGCACTTGAGGAAAATGTATTTAAAAAGCTATTTAATTGGTCAGTAAGCAATTAAGAATGTTAAGAAAAACATAAATATTAGGATGAATACAAATTTCCAAACATTCCAAACCCTCTTGGGGTTTCTAAACCCTTGTGGACCTCAAGAAATAATTGTAGTTTTCATCCACTAGCCGGTTTCGTTAATTAGTCTTTCATTAAATCAGGAGTGCTGGTTCTTGGATTTGAACCAATCGATGTCATAGACTCAGGACATTAAGGAGAATTTGGGAACTAAACTTTGCTGCTCTAACCAGCTCACAATATCTCAGG